AAAAAAAAAAAAACAAAAAAAAACACCAAGCACATGTGCATGTATGCCCAAAATTCAAAGAAGAAAATGGAGAAGGGATTGCTGCATGGTCATCTCCCCAGGGGGATGATTTCTCACTCTTCCCCCCCAAAAAAAAAAATTAAGAAAAAAATGATGACTCCTAGGGGCTGGCAGGTAGGAGAAATGCGGACTTGTTCAATAGCTATAGTTCCAGTTTTATAAAATGAAAAAGCTCTAGAAATCTGTTACACAAAAATGTAGATGTATTGAGGCCAGTAGGTGGCATGGTGGTTAAAGGTGCAGGACTCCCACACGGCTAACTACAGTTCGCGTCCCAGACCTGGCAGCTTGCTGTCTCACTTTCTCTCTCCCTCTCCCCCGCTCCCCCCCTTTCTCTGGTCAAATTAAAATAAAGTTAAATAAAATAATTCTTTAAAAAATGTAAATGTATGTAACACTAAACTGGACACTAAAAACAAATAAAAGTAGTAAATTTTGTATTTTTTAATTACGACTTTTTTTTTGAGAGGTTTTTGCTATAGGGCACGTACACTCGCCAGAAAGTCAACGAGAAACAGAGAGACAGAAAGCAAGAAATCACCCCCCGGGGGGATAGCCACGCTGCAATCCCTTCTCCTCCTTTCTCCTCTCGGGATCTTGGGCATGCACACATACGCGTCCAGCATGAGTTTAAGCCACCAGATCTGGGACTCAAACTGCGGTCGACTACATGGGAGTTCAGAGACATAGCCATTATGCTAACTGCTGGTCCCTTAATTACGATTTTTAAAAGATAATTATGACCAGAATAATCATCCTTCTATAAAAGTATAGTTATACATGGAAATTCACTAATTTTTGCTTTAAATAAATCAAGCTTTGAACAGAATATTTGTATATAGTTGTATGATCTTACCTGCAACTCATGTGATTTACGAGCTTGTTCCTGCTTGATACTGTTAATCATACTCTCTTTAACCTCATCCAATATAGAATATAAACTATCAAATTCTTCATCTAACTCGGAAAGTATGCTAGAAGAATTTTCCTGTTTAAAAAACAAGATAAAACCATTATTTTACTTTGAGGTAACATACATTTAAAATACAAAGTATATTCAAAGAAGAGAACAGACTTATATTATAAACTACCTCAGCCTAACAAAATTTCACTGTTAAGACTTAGGATTTAAAAAGAAAGAAATGTAGAAGCTGACTTCTAATGCTGACAGGACTATTTCAGCTATGCCATGAATTATGCAGCCTTTTATGGTCTAGCCCATACTCTATACATTTATACTGTTCCTGCAGAGCAATGTAAAAAGTTGTTTTAAGAAAAATTTGTGCCAACTTTGACTAGACACTTAGGTTCTAAAGCACACACTAACACGGTGGTTTTTAACCTTTGGTGTTCATCAGAATCATTGGTGAAGTGGCACATGGTAAAAATACAACGGTCTGCAAGGCTAATCCGTACGGGAAGGTTCCAGCTTCACATCCAGAGACCCCCTTGAGTATGCCACCAAGCACATCTGTGCCTGTGACCTGGAGTGGGTTGAAGAAGAGGACAGATCGCAGCATCAAGACTCTATAGGGAGTGCTGTGTCACCCCTGTCTCTCTGGCTCATGGAAAAAATAAATAAAAGAAAATAAGAGAATCACCATAAATTATTTTAATAAAATATTCCAGAAATTTGAACTTAGTAACTCTGAGGAACTGTTTAGGCCTACATGGATGGGGCTGATGCTGTATAAAATCAAAATTCTTCCAGATCCTCTATAATACTGCGTTTATATAAATTATACAGAACTTAAAAGATTTGACAGTTCCTTACAGGATCCTAAGAATTACAATATATCAACCACTGAATTTGAGTGATAACTCCAATCTCCCCATTAAACACTTAATTGTGTGACCTTGAACAAGCCACTTGAATTTCAGAATCTCAGTTTATTCATCCACAAGCAGCAACTGGACTACTCATTTCCTTTCAATTACCAGTGTAGCACATTCTTACCATTTACTGCCTACTACTACTCATGCCCCCATCTTCAGTAACAAGGGTGTATAAGCAGTTTAATTCCCTCTCTCTTTTTTCCTACAATCTCATAGGAAATTCAAATAACCTGTCAATTAGAAGAACAGTTTGGGATAGGTTTTATCTTTTTTTTTTCTTTTTTTTTTTTTGAGAAGTTTTTCCTATAGGGTGCGTACACTCACCAGAAAGACAGAGAAAGACAGAGAGACAGAAAGCGAGAAATCACCCCCCAGGGGGGATGGCCAGGCTGCAATCCCTTCTCCTCCATTCTCCTCTCAGGATCTTGGGCACACACACACACATGCCCGGCGTGAGTTTAAGTCACTGGGTACGGGACTTGAACCGCAGTTGACTACATGGGAGTCCAGCAACATAGCCATTATGCCAACTGCTGGTCCCAAGATAGGTTTTATTTTAAGAGCTCTTTTTTCAAATGTGTTGATCATCTCTTTCCATAAACTAAGAGTTTTAGAACCACTAGCTTTTTATTTTTTCCACCATAGGGTCTGTGAGACCCTCTCTAGGGACTCTAGGGAGAGGGCAAGAGAGAAATCACTCCCTAGGGGGAATGGCCATAGTCCCTTCCCCTCCATTCTCTTCTCAGGATCTTGGGCATGCATACACATGCCTGGAGTGATTTTCAAACTGCTGTCTCCAGGACTGGAACCATGGCCAGAGTTTTCTATATATTTTCTATATATTTATGTATGATATAGATATCATACATATATATATATAAAATCATGTCAGCAAACTGACAATTTCACTTCTTCCTTTCCTATTTGAACACTTCCCTTTCTTTTCTTTTCTTTTTTTTTTTTTTTTTTTAGGGGGAGATTTTTTTTTTGCACATGAGCTCGCGAGAGAGAGAGAGAGAGAGAGAGAGAGAGAAAGAGAAAGAGAGGGAGAGAGGGAGAGAGGAAGAGAGACAGCAAGTGAGAACTCACCCCTGACAGAGGTTGACCATGCCACAGTCCCTTCTCCGCCCATCAGAAGTTTTAAGGTGCCAAGTCCAGGACCCGAACTGCAGTTGACTATGTGGAAGTCCAGTGATGTAATGATTATGTCACCTGCTGGTCCCCTTTTATTTTTTCTTGCCTAATTGCTCTGCTAGAATTTCCAATACTATGCTGAACAGAAGCGGTGACACTGCGTTCTTGTTTTATTCCTGACCTTAGAGGAAAAGTTTTCAAATTTTCAACACTGAATACAATGCTTACCTGTGGACCTGTCATATATGGCCTTTACTGAACTGCAGAATATTTCTTCTATGTTTATTGAGGATTTTATCATAAAACAATGTTGAATTTTATCAGGTTTTTTTGCATCTATTGTGATGATTATCTTGATTTTATCCTTCATTGTTAATACTGTATCACATTTATTGATTTATATACACTGAGCCATCTCTAAATCTCAAAGATAAGTAACACCTGATCATAGCAAATGACTTTTATAATGTGCTACTAAGTAAGTTTACAAGCATTTTGTTGAGAAGTTTTGCATCTATAGTCCTTATACATACTGACTCATAGTTTCCTTTTCTTGTGAGGTCCTTTTCTGGCTTTGGGAACAAAATAATACTAGCTTAGTAAAATGTATCTGTAAGTATTCTCCCCTTTCGAATTTGTAGAAGAATTGGAGAATGATTGTTATTTTTTATTTAAATGCTTTGAAGAATTCATCAGTAAAGCCATCAGGTCCTGGATTTTTCTCTGATGGAAAACTTTACTGATTTGATCTCCTTAGTCATTACTGATCTATTCAAATTTTTCATTTTCTTCTTCCTTATTCATTCTTGATAGCTGGTCTATTTCTAAGAATCCAAAATTGTCCAAAATCCCCTTCCTCAATCAACATCTGATTACTGTAAGTATGGATTAGCTGCCAAAATCTGGAACTATTTCCTTAAGTAGTCTTCTCCCTCCTCATTGGGCACTACCTGTTACTTTTATGCTGAACTTTCATCTATTTCTACAAGCTGACCTCTTACCAGCTATATTTTTCTTTCACTATTTACTATAAAATAAATGTTTTACATCCTAGTATTTTTAAAAAGATATAATTTACTCTTAATTGGAATTAGAAAAGACAAACGTTAAATAAAAAAGACAAGAGTGAGCACTGTAATATTCCCTAGCAACTACTATTTCAGAATTTTCTCTCTTCCTTATTATTTGATTTTTCCATGGAAAATGTAGGAATAATGAGGAAAGTATTTTTACTTCACTTACATTTTAAACCTGCTCTCACCTCTATTACTTTATAATCTAGAGTTGATATTTATATTTATTTCACTCAACAATCACTTTAACATATTCACACAAAAATTTTTTTGGTAAAGATTATATTTTATTTTTCATGGTTTTTTTAACTTTAGTTATTATTATTATTTTAATTTGCTATAGGGCATGTGTGCTTGAGAGACAGAGAAAGTGAAAAAGAGAGCTGCCAGGTCCAGTACTCGAACCACAGTCAGTCATGTGGGAATCCAGAGCCTTAACCACCACACCACCTGCTGGCACCCCCCCCACACAGAATTTTAAATAAGAAAGATTCATACCTGAACTCCTTTTAGGGTATGATTTAGTGTATCAATAAAGTTTTGAATTTCATCATTTTTATTTGCCAGAGTTGAAATGATCCTTTGTAGAGCTTCCTAGAATTAAAATATTAAATTTTAATCAGAGAATTATAAAGCTTATAACAATGATTCTCTAAACAAATTTTACATAAGAGTATACTGTATAATAAATAGAAACAATGCAAAGTTTCCCTCTTTTCAAAATTTCTAAAGGCCTATAGTTATAAAAGATATTTATCTGCACTGTTTTAAATCTTATTCCTAGTATACAACTTAATCATCATAATATATTTTAAATTCAAAAGAAGCAGTATTATTTAATATTAATAGTATTCTCTCAGGTCATAAGAACTTGGCAATCAAAAAGTCAAATCCTCATGTCGCAAAGATACAGCAACTTGTTTGTTTGTAGTTTTTTCTTTTCTTTTTTTTCAGTTTTGGTACAGGGCATGTGCACTCACTGGAGAGAAACAGAGAAAGAGAGAGAAAAGGAGAGAGAAAGAGTGAGAGTGAGAAATCATCCCATGGGGGGTGTGGAGGGAGGCTGCATCACAATCCCTTTGCCTCCGCCCAACTCTTTAGATTTTGGCCACACATAAACATATGCCTGGAATGGAAAACTTTTTTTTTTTTTGGAAAGGTTTTTGCTATAGAGGGCATGCGCTCGCCAGAAAGACAGAGACAGAGAGACAGAAAGTGAGAAATCACCCCCCAGGGGGGATAGCCACACGGCAATCCCTTCTCTTCCATTCTCCTCTCAGGATCTTGTGCATGCACACACATGTGCCTGGCGTGAGTTTAAGCCACCAGGTCCGGGACTTGAACGGCGGTAGACTACGTGGGAGTCCAGCAACACAGCCATCACGCCAACTGCTGGTCCCTGTGGAAAACTTTTAATACAGTACTAGGATATAAGAAATAAAAAAACAAAAAAGCAAGGAGTGGTCCAGCCCATGGCTGGTTAAATGGCTAGATCCCGCATGACTGATTTCATGGTTTGAGTCCCAGATCTGGCAACTTAAAAATCACACTGGGCCTATGTGCATGCATGTCCAAAATCCTGAGAGCAGGGGGAAATGGAAGAGAAGGCACATGGCATGACTGTGCCCCATGGGGAGGTGCTTTCTCCCTCTCTCTCTCCAGCTACTTTGTCCTTCTCTCTTTCTCTCCAGCTACTCCATGTGTCCTCTGGCAAAAATTCAAAACAAAAATAAAAAGGAAATGTTAAAATTTATCAACATTTTACTTATTTATAAAAATAAAAATATTTGTAGGGAACCAGCAGTTAACGTAATGGCTATGTCGCTGGACTCCCACGTAGTCGACCACGGTTCGCGTCCCGGACCCGGTGGCTTAAAACTCACGCCGGGCGCGTGTGCATGCATGCCCAAGATCCTAAGAGGAGAATGGAGGAGAAGGGATTGCAGCGTGACCATCCCCCCTGGGGGATTTCTCGTTTTGTCTCTATGTCTCTCTCTGTCTGTCTGGCGAGTGCACGCGCCCTATAGCGAAAACCTCTCCAAAAAAAATAAATAAATAAAAATTAAAAAAAATATATTTGTGAAATATGAAACTAAATAAATTTGTATTTAGTCTTACAATATTCATTGCAATATTTATAGATGCTAGAAAACCATAACAAATTGTTTACCATAATGTAAGCAATTTTAGTAGCAAATATCTCATACTTTGATAATACTTCCTATTTAAATGAAACATTTGGTTATTTAATTGTCTCATACTCTAGTTCAGTGCTGTTCAATAAAACTTTCTGCTATTACAGACATGTTTTATGAGAGGATGTCCAAAAGTTCATGTAAAAATGAAATTAATGTATTATCTAAGTTTATTTTTCTGCAAAACAATTTTTAAATCCATATTTTTACACTATGCATATTCCATGAACTTTCTGAGGACTATTTATATGTATGTATTACTATAGCAACTACCAGTCTCTGACATTTTGAAATGTGGCTAGTAAAACTGAGAAACTTGGGGCCAGCAGTTGGCACAGTGGTTATGTGGCTGGACTCCCACGTGGCTGACCATGTTTCGAGTCCTAGACTTGGCAGCTTGAAACTCAAGCTGGGCATGTATGCATGCGTGCCCAAGATCCTGGGAGAATGGAAGAAAAGAGATTGTGGTGTGGCCAACCCCCTGGGGTGCTTTCTCACTTTACCTCCCACTGCCTCTGTTTCTCTCTGGGAATGCATGCGCCAAAGGCAAAAATCTCCAAAATAAATAAATAAATAAAGGAAATAAACACTGAAGAACTTATTATTTATGTATTTAAGTTATATTATAGGGCGCATACACTTGCCAGAGAGCAATGGGTGGGGAGTAAGAGATCAACCCCCACAAGAAATGGAAGTGGACACCCACATGGCTGACCACAGTTCAAGTCCCAGACCTGTGGCTTAAAAATCATGCCAGGTGCATGTGTGTGCATATCCAAAATTTCAGGAGAAGAATGGAGCTTCTTCAAGAGACAGCCAGCTCCATGGCTCCTGAGATCTAGCCATTTGGGCAGAAAGGAAGATGTCCCACTGATAACTGGGCCTGCCTCCAGCATCCAAAACTCACGTGAACAGCCCTTCTTCAAGAGAAAGCCAGCTCCATGGGTGCGAAAGGAAGATGTCCCACTGATAACTGGGCCTCCAGCATCCAAAACTCGCGTGGTAGGAAGATCCCTTTCAAGTCTCCTGTCTCTATCTGCCTTTGTCTCTCTCTACGTCTGTCTCTGTCCTCTCTCTCGCTCTCGCTCTCTCTTTTTTTTATTTTTTTACTTTTTAGAATTTTTTTAAGGAGAGGCATTTTACAGGGCCCTTTGGCCCCTCCTACCTAGCGCTTTATCTTGCTAATCATCCACCCACCCCGCACCAGAACAGCCCTTCTTCAAGAGACAGCCAGCTCCATGGCTCCTGAGATCTAGCCATTTGGGCAGAAAGGAAGATGTCCCACTGATAACTGGGCCTGCCTCCAGCATCCAAAACTCGCGTGGTAGGAAGATCCCTTTCAAGTCTCCTGTCTCTATTTGCCTTTGTCTCTTTCTACGTCTGTCTCTGTCCTCTCTCTCGCTCTCGCTCTCTCTTTTTTTAAATTTTTTACTTTTTAGAATTTTTTTAAGGAGAGGCATTTTACAGGGCCCTTTGGCCCCTCCTACCTAGCTCTTTATCTTGTTAATAATCCCCTCTCCTCCTCCCAGAACAGCCCTTCTTCAAGAGACAGCCAGCTCCATGGCTCCTGAGATCTAGCCATTTGGGGAGAAAGGAAGATGTCCCACTGATAACTGGGCCTCCAGCATCCAAAACTCGCGTGAACAGCCCTTCTTCAAGAGACAGCCAGCTCCATGGCTCCTGAGATCTAGCCATTTGGGGAGAAAGGAAGATGTCCCACTGATAACTGGGCCTCCAGCATCCAAAACTCGCGTGGTAGGAAGATCCCTTTCAAGTCTCCTGTCTCTATCTGCCTTTGTCTCTCTCTACGTCTGTCTCTGTCCTCTCTCTTGCTCTCGCTCTCTCTTTTTTTTATTTTTTTACTTTTTAGAATTTTTTTAAGGAGAGGCATTTTACAGGGCCCTTTGGCCCCTCCTACCTAGCGCTTTATCTTGTTAATAATCCCCTCTCCTCCTCCCAGAACAGCCCTTCTTCAAGAGACAGCCAGCTCCATGGCTCCTGAGATCTAGCCATTTGGGGAGAAAGGAAGATGTCCCACTGATAACTGGGCCTCCAGCATCCAAAACTCGCGTGGTAGGAAGATCCCTTTCAAGTCTCCTGTCTCTATCTGCCTTTGTCTCTCTCTACGTCTGTCTCTGTCCTCTCTCTTGCTCTCGCTCTCTCTTTTTTTTATTTTTTTACTTTTTAGAATTTTTTTAAGGAGAGGCATTTTACAGGGCCCTTTGGCCCCTCCTACCTAGCGCTTTATCTTGTTAATAATCCCCTCTCCTCCTCCCAGAACAGCCCTTCTTCAAGAGACAGCCAGCTCCATGGCTCCTGAGATCTAGCCATTTGGGGAGAAAGGAAGATGTCCCACTGATAACTGGGCCTCCAGCATCCAAAACTCACGTGGATAGACAGAAGTGAATAGAGCAGGCCTTCTTTAAGAGACACAAAGCTCCATGGCTCCTGCGATAGAGCCATTGTGGGAGAATGGATGATGTCCCAATGATAACTCGACCTCCAGCATACAAAATTCAGGTGGAGAAGTAGAAGGGAACCAAACAGGCCTTCTTCAAGAGAGAGACAGCACCATGGAAATAGCGATCTAGCTATTTTTAGAAAAAGAAGATTTCCCATAATAACTTGACCTCCAGCATGCAAAACTTGCATGGAGAGGCAGAAGGGAAAAGAACAGACTTTCTTCAAGAGGCAGATAGCTCCATTGGTCCTGGGATCAAGCCATTTTGAGAGAAAGGTACATATCCAGCTGATAGGTGGATCTCCAGCAAACAGAAGTCATGTGCAGAGGCAGAAAGGAACAGGACAGACTTTCTTCAAGAAGTAGACAGCTCCATAGCTTCTGAGATCGAGCTATTTTGGGAAAAAGGAAGTTGTCCCCCTGATGTCTGTGACAACAGTATATGAAAATCACAGTATAGGGTAGAAGAGAACAGAATAGGCCATCTTTATGAGAGAAACAGCTCCATGGCTCCTGCAATTGAGCCATTTTGGGAGAAAGGAAGATGTTCCACTGATAACTGGGCTTCCAGCATACCAAACTTGCGTGCAGAGGCAGAAGGGAATAGAGCAGGCCTTCTTCAAGAGATAGACAGCACCTTGGCTCCTGCATTCGAGCCATTTAGGGAGAAAGGAAGATGTCCCACATATAACAAGGCCAACAGCATACAAAACT